ACCCAGCCACACAGCCACACAGCAACCCAGCCACCCAGCCACCCAGCCACACAGCCACACAGCCACACAGCCAGCTGTGGAGTAGGAAGGAAAGAAAGATACATAAAATTTAAAAAAGGTTAAAAAGCCCAGAGGCAAAACATAATTAAAGAGAAATGGGATAATTTGAATTAGAGAAGCTGGCTAGATATAAGCCAAGCTAAGGTTGGGCATTCATAAATAAGAATAAGTCTCCATGGATTTATTTAGGAGTGGGGTGGTGGGCCCCCTAAAAATAAAACAACAACTACAACACACACACACACACACACACACACACACACACACACACATACTACAGGTGGGTCACACATGAGAAGACATGAAAGCATGAGATAGTTGTTAGAAGATGGGCTCCTGTGAGGGAGGGTGGGATGATAGAAGAGTACGGGGCATGAAAATAACTAAATTCCATCATATAAATACATGAAAATATCAAACAAAAAATTTAAAACTGCTCCTAAGAGTTAAGCATTCTTACTCATCATACGTTTTCAATGGATATATGTTGAATCAATGTATAAATGTATTTATATATTTGTGTGTCTATAAATATTAAAGAAAATATACTGTAACATGAAAAATAAAAGAGCCGGAGACTGATATTGGAGTTCAAGCTTCAAGCTGAAGTTCAGAAAAACAAAGCAGACGGCCACTAACTCTCACCTCTAGCTCAAGGGTGGATCCACGAGCTCTTCAGCAAGCCTCAGACTGCTGCCTCTCTTCAGTGTCGCCTGAGAACGAATGCCTGATAGAGAGGCCTTTGCTCCTGTCTCATATACCTCCATAATGCTGGGATTAAAGTTGTGTGATCCCAGGTGCTGAGATCATCTTTGTGTGAGCAGTTTCTCTTTAGGATTGACTCAGTCTTGTGTAGATCTGGGTGGCCTTGGACTCACAGACATCTGTCTACCTTTTAATCCTGAGTCCTAGGATTAAAGGTGTGCACCACCACCTCTTAACATCTGGCTGCTGGGATTAAAGGTGTGTGCCTGGCTTCTTTGGCTTGTGACTGACTTTGCTTTCTGAATCCTCAGGCAGGCTTTAATAAATCATAAATATATATCACTACAATATATTTCAAAATTAATAACAATTATTATTCTTCAGTTGGTAATCCTCTTTTTTTCTCATGTTTAGGTTATCATACAAAACAATGGGCTTCGTGCTATTTCTGTACATATGTGTCATTACACTCTATCTTCACTTGTTACTCTTCCTGCTTCTCTCTGGTTAGAAGCCACCATGAGCCTGGGCTTAGTGTTACCTGCTGTGATCTCAGCACATGAGAGATGGAGATAAGAGGATCGCAGTTTCAAGGCAAGCCTGGGCTACAGAATGAGAGACATTTTTTTAAAAAAATGATCTATACCTGTTATAAAAATGATAACGTTTCAAAAGCAATAACTTATAATTTTCTCTGTTTTCACCTAAACTCCATTGTCTGCTACAGTCAATGCCATTGTGCAGTTCAGTCTATAAACCTGAAAAGGAAAAACATTCTGTGTTTCCATGCATTCTGAATTCCATGTCCAGCACAGAATCTGGAGCCAGACAGAAGAGCAACCCTACTTCTCATGGAAGTCATCAGGCTGAACTATCAACACTTTCAACTTTGGTCCCTTATTACAACTCAGTGTCTCTAAATTACCTTCAGAAGGCAGGAGGAATTGAAGAAAGAGTGAGAAATCCTATTTTCAAGGAGAAAATATTTTATTTATTTAATTTTTACTTTGTTTTAGTGGTAATATATATGTAATTCATTTAGTTTTAACTTTTGCCCTACAATTAATTGAAAGCCATTAGCTGTGTCACATTTTTTCAAGTGTGATGTGATGTTTGGGTATCAGTGTACAACATGGAGTGCGTTTTCTTGTGTGTTTATTTTTGTGTCTTGGCTGACCCATGGTTTGTCCTTCATTCTTCCCCTCACCACCGTGGCTCCTCTTCTCCATTTCATTCACTTTTAATACATCATTAGCCATCCATTGACCAGTCAGACACTTGGATTTTATTTACTCCCTGTGCTCTTAATTACAAAATCATACTTAACACACTGTGAGAGGAATGTAGTGCCAGGTGGCCCCAGGATGGTCTCTGAACTGTCCTAGTTGGGTCAACAGCAGCACCCGGGGAGCCTTTTGTTCATTATATGGGGATTTTATACAGTTTTATTTAGAATAAAGTAACTTAAAATATTGGCAGAAATTCACATGGTGTCCTTATAGAGAGGAGCGGGCATGCGATTACAGTGTAAATAAATCTCTGATTCAACTTCTAAATTCAGGATCCAGAGACACAG